GTAACGGCTATAAGTTAAGGTGGTTATTTTGTTATACTAGCTCAAAAGACAAGACGCCGAGTTTGAATGGCGATGGGGAGAGATTTAGGCAATGGGGGAAACATATCGGACTCTCCCACGATACTTCCCGGAGTTATTGAGTGCTAGGGTTTGCCATAGCCACCAACCACCATGTACCCCCGACCCATGACTTTTACATAATATTAGGGTCATTGATTTATTAGAAATCAACTATGTATTTATACACAATACCAACTATTTTCTATTATTTTTTAAATATTTTTAAATTATTTTTTTCAAATAAAATAATTGAAATATTTTAGAATAATCACTTTATAACTCAAATACAATTTTGTATACTAATATTATTCATTATTTTGTAAATAAATTATATACAAATCAAATGTACATATTAAAAAAAAATCTTCTCATCGGTAAAAAAGCTTCCTTTGTTAATTTTCATATAAGTTTTTATATTAATTATTGTTTTATTTCATTGATGCAATGTAATAAAAAAATATTAAGACATTTTCTTAAATTTTATATTAAAATTTCTTTATTATGGGTTTTTATTTAAGAATAAATACATCGAAAGAACAAATCATATTTTTTTTACTTCAAAATTTTTCAAAACATAAAAAATATATATTTATAGATACAAAATTTTGATTAAAAATTATGAAATTAGATGAAATTTTATCTTTTATATTTAATTTAATATATTTTAATTAACCAATAATATATTATATGTTATTAAACTAAAATAAATATGTTTAGTTCGATTTGCAACGTAGTGCGAGAATTCAAACTATTCATATGTCTAAAATTCCAATTCACTTACTCTTCATATGCATAAAATTACAATTTACTTTATGGCAATTTAACTAATTTTTGTATGTGGTTTTTTTGTGTGTTTTTTAGCATTAATATGAAAATTTAACACTTTTTCCTATTTTCATCCCTTATGTTGTAACATTTTTTTTCAATCCTCAACTTTTATTTTTCTTTCATTTTCACGTAGTGTATATATATTATATTTGAAAATTAACGTATAATTTAGCTTATATTACTCTTATTATTTAAATTTTATTCTTTGCATTTATCATTTTTTATGAAAATTCTTATCCAATTAATATTTTTTATATAAAATTTTATTTATTGATAAATTTAATTTATTTTTCTCTAAGTTTGAATTTTAGAATAAAATTTTAAAAAATAAATTGGTATAATATATATCATGAATTCTTAAATTGTTTAAATGATAGTTGCATATATATATTTTATTCTAAGAGGTTAAAAGTTTATTTCAAATAATTTATCTCGATTACTAGGTATGGTCAAGACGTATAAAAAAACTATTGAATCATTGTTTTTATTAAAAAATAACTATACATCTTCTAAAATAATACAAATTATTTACTATGAATATTTTTTTTTAATATTATAGAACAAATTTATTTGAAATAAAATGATTTTTTAAAGGAATCAACCAATTATTCAAATAGAGTTTTTTATGCTAATTTTATTGATTATTATTTTGTAAATAAATATATAAAGATCAAATTCATATACTTTAAACAAATAATCTTCTCACCAAAATGAAATAAGAATAAAATTTTATTTTTTCATTAGTTAATTTTTATCCAAGTCTATACATTAATTGTAATTTTATTTTTTGGATACATTTTTATAATATATATATATATATATATATATATATATATATATATATATATATTAAAGTCTTTTTTTTGAATTCTTAATTAATATTTTATGTTTAAATTATTATACTTTTTTTTTTAAGTATCCATGAATAATGAAGAATAAATCATGTTTTTTTTTAAGTAGAAATTTTATGAAAAACACACAAAAAATAATAATTAGTAATAATTAAATAAAAAATAAAATTTTGAAATGATTTTATTCTATTTGCTCACGAGCATTTCGTGGATAATTTCAAAAATTAATCTTCTCATCAACATTAAATAAGATTTTTTTTTCATTTGTTAATTTTTATAAAAACCTATCCATTAATTATAAATTTATTTTTTGAAATACAATATTATGAAAAATATATATTTTTTAGTTCTTGATTAATATTTTTGTTAACATTATCTTAATTTTTTATTTTAAAATAATTTTTTATTTTAAAATCAATCCATCAAGAAGAATGGTTTATGTTTTTTTTTTTTTTTAAGTAGAAAATTTATGAAAAAAATTAGAAAAAAATAATTAAAAAATTTAAAATGTTAAAATGATTTTATTCTACCGGACTCGTAGGGTAGTGCGGGCAATTGGTTAGTTTATGTTTAAAATAAAATACTTTCAAATTTATTTATGAAATTAGGATACCCTTTGTTATAGGCTGCATATCATAATTCGTATTGTATTATCTCCTTGATGTTGTTCATCACTTAAACCTAATTAAACAATTATTGGCTCTATTTATGATGATTTTCTAAAAATAAAAAACCATATAATTAATTAGTAGTTAGTTGTTAATGGAATAAATTATAAATTAGTCCTCATAATTTTACAAAATGAATTAAATAAACCATTTTGTTTCAAAAATTAATTAATTAGTTCCTTAAATAATATTGATCAAGTTTTTTTTTAAAAAAAAATCTTATTTTCTCATTAATTTTTTCATATTTTTACTTTTTTCTTTTTTTATTTATTAAAATAAAAATAAATTGAAACATAATAAAAAAAATAAGTTATAAATAGATTTAAAAATATAGGAACCGATTGATTAGTTACTAAAACTTAATGGAATATTTAATACCTTTTGAAAAACTAGAGAGATTAATTTATAATTTACTCTTGTTAATGTTAAAGGAGAGGGGTAGCTAAGGTTAATACTGGCCAGTGGGTGTTTAGTTGGTTAGAATTTTCCTTGACAATTATTTGCTATCTTTTATTTAGAATTTTTTTTTATGGCTTATAAACAGGATAATTCTCCAATTTGTTTTTAAATTCAAAATTAATTTAATTTTATCTTTAAATATATATTAAATTTTAGTTTAATGGTCAAAATTGCCCCCAAACTACTAGGTTTTGACAACTCTAGGCCTTTTATTACTAATTTGGATTAAATGAATTCTGAACTATTATTTTTTTGACAAACATAATCCTTACCTATTATCTTTAATCGTCAAATAGTTGACCGTTAATATTCTATCTAAAAAATAATTAACTTGGTCAAAACATAGTCTTCATAAGATTATATAATGGCTATTTATTAGATTTCAAAATTAATAATATTTATAAAAAAATTGAAAATACAAAAAATCAAATATAAAATATAAAACTATATATATTTAAATAAATAAAAATACAAACCCTCGATTAAAAATAAAATAAAATATTTATACTCATATGGTAGACATGTTAGCATACTAGCATATCAATTTAATAATTATGTCAATATTTTGAAAATTTACATCAATGAAAATTTAAGTTAACATGAGCATGTACCTTGAAGGATGGTACCTATCTATATGGTTTATGAATCTCCATACGACATGTCCTACTTTTCCCTCTCGCTTTATTATTATTATTATTATTGACGAGATTGTGAACCTAATAAGATGAGGTGGTTCTTTCTTAGCTGAAATAACTATGGAGTTTGTTGGTTGATGATAATAATGATAGTTAGAATACCTACAAAACGAGTCTTAGAGGACCCTCTAAAGATTAAATAGCGTATGTAAGAGAATTATGGCCTGAGAAGACAATAATAGTACAAGTATCAAAGAGAGAGATGAGAAATAATAATAGAATTGAGAAAATTGTTTTTATTTAAAAAAGACTATACCTTATCCTATAATTCTTTATATAACTAATAACTATGAAACTAGTGAAGTTACATGGGAAGAAAGATAAAATTCTCTCTCTTTGTTGCGAACTTCTGATTCTTATTAGGCAAAAAAAAAAAAAAATCTCATGTTAATCGGTTATGAATGACAATGTACTTGGTTCCTCTGGTCGGTTGACTAACTGCACGTGAATGATCTTAGTTGTCTGCTCGAGGCTCATCTGAGTGATCTTTGGCTGTCTAGGTTTCTTCCCGAATGCAGCGTCATCCACATTGGACATGGTTCTCCCACGTATCACTCTTGACTGGATTCTGGGCACACAGATGTCGCAGATATATCAATCATCCTCATATCATTTTTGACAATTTTCACACATCAAGACAAAATCCCTTCCCAATTGGGTCTCTAGACCATCATTCCTATGCGAGTTCTTATGTCATTTTTCTTCATGATAATACAATGCGCATGGAAATCTCATTCAGCTCCAATGTTTTGCCTTGCGTGCTGTTTGTCCATTCTTTCCATCAACATTGAGGAATACTAGAGAAGACGATGATTTAGCATTACTGCACTAGTAAAGGAAAGACCAGAGGTTGAGGCTTTGGGAGTTGAGTGTTAACTGCAGATCCAAAAAAATGCTGATGCATAGATAGAGGATTCCAGCTCTACACAGTTCTGGTAGAACTACAAAGAAATATACAGCAATGCCGTTTGTAAACAGGGACAATTAATTGACACCATTGTCACATGGTTAACACATCATAGTCTCCTATACATGGTGCTCAAAAATTGGCTAATTGTTTGGCTGCTTCACTGCAATTGATCAATTAATCCAAGAAAACAGAAGCGACTGCTCTCATTCTTCTGGCATATAAGGCGTTCTTATGATTCTGCGAGAAGCCAAAATGGACCCCTGTGAAAGGCCAGCAACATTGCATCACCTGTCCAGGCATGCTTCAGGTTCAGGCTTCAAGATATGGGTTAAATTGTTTACTTTATGCTATATAGTAATGGTATTATTCATCCATATGACTATAGTAAGCAAGATGTTATTCATTACGGGGAAGGAAAACCAGAAAAAATGGCACCAATAGTTACAGTGTTCCACGCTTATATAAAAACATCACCCTTCACGAGTGATTAAGAAGGAAATTAGGGAACGAAAAGTTGAGAAGAGGAGGTTTATTTATCAACTTGGCCTAGCTTGCCAAGACCATTGCAACGAGGGCAGACAATCTGGGCCTGGTCCTTCCTAGCAGCATTAGCCCTCAAGGCTGCTCCTGACTGCCTAATGAAACCTGCTCCATCGCACTCAGGACACCTACGAAACGTAGTTAAAAAATCAATGCGTGCGAAGAAGACTAACAAAGCTAACAGAGAATAACAGGTGCTATAGACCAATCGAAGCTTATCTCTAGTTCAATGCAATTCAGAAATAAAACATGCGTAGGCCTAACTTTTGAATTTAGCCTAGCAATGACTACTATTTAATAACATCTAAAATGAATCCAGAGCCTGAGCTACAAAAAAGAATTGCACAATAGGTCAATATTTAGAGAAGGAGAGAGAAAGAGATGTAATTACAGGTCCTTGCGAGAGAAGAAGATAGGAAAAGCAGTTCCAATAAGAGCTACAGCAGCAGCACCAGCTATTAGGTAAGTGGTGCCATCAGCTGATACATCTCCTACCGCTGCAACCACAGTCAAAGACCTTTTATTCTTTTTCTTCTGCTGGATCATATTCCACGATAGAACCTTGGAACCAGCAGGCATCAGTGCAGCTGAAAAGCGATGGCTTGAAACTGCCAATCTCTGTGGTGAATTCCTAGAAAAAGAAGCCTGAATAGGAGTTAGTGTTGCCATCTCGTTAAACTTCAACAGTTGTTTTCCACGAAGAAGGAAATATTGCGAGCTGGACTGGCTAGAGCTATGGGAAGGGACCAGAGTATCAATTGCTAGGATGTAGAGGTTTGAACGCTAGCGGGCTTCATGTGTTTATCCCTGGCCAGTTTGAATGGATTTGGTTATGACTACTCAGATAAGGCTACGTCAGATAGAGATCAAGATTCCCGAGATTAAACGGATAAGGTTGGTCCCAACGTTTTTAACTCGAGGGCTACTCGAGCACATTTGTGACTTTGCTCAATTTTTGCCACCTATATTTCATTAACCACAATCACATCAAAGCCACCTCTTTCCCGGGCAAAAAATATCCTGGCAATTATAAAAAACACTTCAATAAAATAATTTTTTTTATAATTTATCATACTATCTATTCATATACTCATAAATCATTATTCTTTTCATTATTCATAACATTTTTATAACATTTTAATACTTAATTTTTTATACTTTTTTTTTAATTTCAAAATTTAATTATATTGTAATTTGATCTTATTTTATTTTAGTGTTTTTTGTTAGTTATTTTTATTATTTAAGATTTATTACTTTAATTTGTCATTTTAAAAAATTTTTGTTTTCAATTTCAAACTTTAATTATATCGTGATTTGGTCCTATTTTGTTTTAATATTTTTTTTAATTATTTTTATTATTTAAAATTTACTACTTTAATTTGTTATTTTTTTTAATTCTCATCCAATTAATTTAAAATTATATAGTCCTCAATTTTTCTATACATTTTTTTTTCAATTTTAACTCTGTAATTGTATTATGATTTGGTCCCATTTTATTTTAATATTTTTTTATTAATTATTTTTATTATTTAAAATTTACTACTTTAATTTGACATTTTTTTAATTCTCATCCAATTAATTTAAAATTATATTTGCTGACAATTTTGATTTATTTTTCTATATGTATGGATTTTGGAATAAATGTTTAGAATATGATTATTTTTTATTTTGAAAAAATAGATTTAGATAATTTTTAAATTACGAGTGGCATGATTAATAAATATAATTTATCCGAAATACGTTTTTAGATTAAAAATGTATTTCAAATAATTTTTTTATTTTTTTTAAAAACTATTAGGTAATTCATAGTTGAAAGTCAAATGTGAAAAAAAAAATGGTCGTTCGCGCGTGAAGCTCGTATTCAAGGACTAACCATGTATAACATAGAAATAAAAAATTATTTAAGAAGGAGGAAAAAATAACGGAAAAAGAATTCACATGTTTTATTAATTTGCTTCTTCTTTATATAATCAAAATTAATTGAAATCAAATTTGTAATAATTTTTATTTTAGTCTATTAACTTCAAATTTAATCAATAGTTTCTTTGCAAGTTAACTTTTTTTTATAGTATTTTTTGTTTTAAACTAAAAACTCGAACTCACTTAGTATAAAATATTGAATCATTTTTTTTATAAATTAACCGTGCATCTACAACATTAAGTATTTACTATTTATTTATTTATTTTTGAATATTTTAAAATTAACTTATTTTAAATTAAATAATTAAAATTATGTTTTGGCTTAACCGTTCAATGATTCAAGTTAATATAGTTTTTTATTTTAATATTATTCATTCTTTTGTATATAAATATATAAAAATTAAATTTATATTTTTTCAAAAATTGATATTCTCATTAAAAATAAATAAAAATAAAAAAATTATTTGTTCAATTTTATGTAAGCTTTTAATAATTGTTATTTTTGTTTTTCGACACAATCTTGTAAAATAAGATTTTTTTTAAAAAAAATTATTTAATTTTCTTTTTAGTTAATAATCCATGGATTAATAAGGATAAATCTTTTTTCTAAAGAAAAAATTATTAAAAACACAAATAAGAAAATTATAAATTATTTTTTTTTACTTTTGATTTTATATATTTTTATAGATTCACACCATAAAACAGATTATCAAACTAAAATAATTTTTTTAAATAATTTTATATATTTTACTTAATCGTAATCCAGTAACGTACTCGTTGAAAAAGAAAACTAATAGAAATACTACAAAATAGATCGGTACGGATCGGATTCTAGGAATGGTGAGCCCCACGAAACCACCTAAGCTCATCTCTCAAGAGATGAGCATTATTGTAAAATCCGAAACCATCTATAACGTACGTTGTCCTCGAATCGCTAGATCCGATTAAAATCTCGGACTAATATATATACTCAAGAACACGAGCATGGGAACCATGTGGTAAGAATGTTGTTATCAAATATAATGCCGGATTTCCAACCGCGAACTATCAAGACAAAAAGCCTTACAAGGAGTTCCAAAATGTCTCTCATGTGTTCACACCCTATCAAATAGAAAACATTCCTCCCGGGGAAAGATTTCTCATACTAAGGATGTCCATATTTTCGTTAGAACCATGATCAAGCCCGTGATTGAATATATAAAGGGTGAAGCAAGCAATAGCAATAGCATTCACCGATTTTATGTTGAAAGTATTAGCGACGACGTGTGCTATCTTTTAGTAGAGTTCGCACTTCATCCGACCGGTTGCTTTGTTTGATTTATTCTTTGGTTCTCGCTATAATTAAAGGTCGTTACGAGTTTGTTAATATTGCTCCTATAGTTAAGGAGTCTCTTTAGGATCATTATTGTATTTAACGGTTGGTTCATCATTCAATAAGATCGGTTAGCTTTCTAAACTCTTTATGGTATCGGAGCGGATACGACTCTTACGAGTCCGATCCTTCCCTTTATCCTAATGCACGAACGACCACCATCACCTTCAATGGCTTCCACTTCCCGGCCTAATCTTATCAATGCCGATAATCCAAATACCAACAATCATATTTGTGCAGCTTTAACCTCGTCATCACAATTGCCTATCAAATTGCAAGCGGTTCCAATTTCTCTACTTGGAAGACTCAATTAACATTACTTCTCGAAGGTCATGAATTAGTTGGGCATCTTGATGGTTCTACACCTTGCCCCGAAAAGAAAATCACTCGCACCAACACTACTCGAAATCAACCTAGCATATCGCCTCCGGGTTCATCAAGATCGTCTCATTCATCAAGCAATGATAGCCTTCGTTGACGACACCATTACATCCACCGTAGCAGGTGCATCTAATGCCGAGAATGCATGAGCTCTTCTTCATACCACTTATGCCAACAAAAGTCACACACGAATTTACAACTTGCGAGATCAACTCAATCGCATCACCAAGGATGACAAGAGTACTTCTGAATATCTTCATCAAATCCGCACCATTGCTAATGAACTTGCTATCGCAGGTTCTCCTATTACCGAAGTCGAACTCACAATCAAAATTCTCAATGGACTTGGTCCCGATTTTCATGAAGTATCCGCAGACAATTCGCAATCGTAGCATTTCGATTGAATATCTTGAACTCTACGAAAAGCTTCGATCATGAAATTTTTCTTAAACATCAAGAACGACATCTTTCATCTCCAATAACAATTGTTGTAGCAAACGGAACCAACAACAATCGTAATACTCAACGCTACAACAACAACAACTTTCCAGCATGATGTTCCAATAACGAGTACAATTAACAATCACAATGGCGACGAATAATAACACCTACAACAATGGTGTTCAATGCCAATTATGTAATCGCCCCGGTCATATCGCATCGGTATGCCGCTCCAAATCTCATAATCACCTCGAGGCCAAAGCAAACTTTGTTACTCGGACTTCGATCATCTACAAACCCATGGATTCTAGACACGGGTGCCACACATCACATTACCACCGAGCCACAGGATATGCCCGTATACCATGGCATGGAGGAAATGACCATGGGAGATGGTAACGGAATTCCAATTACTCACAATGGTTCAACTTCATTATATGCATCAAACTCGACTTTCCATTTGTCTAATACTTTGTGTGCTCCTAAAATCAAACGTAATTTAATTTCGAGTTTCCAATTTTTGTAAAAATAATATAACTTTTGTGGAATTTTTTTCGTCCGATTTTCTCATCGAGGACCTCGCAACACGTACACCCCCGGTGCACGACCGGAATAGAAATGGGCCGTACGAGTGGCCGACAATTCGTTCATCACCTTCTCCTCAAGCTCAAATGGTCTCCACAAATAACTCGGTTGAAACCCGGCACCGCAGTGCTCGGCCATCCTCATGCTCAAGTTTTAAAAAATATTTTGCACAATTTTCCTGTTCCCCTTTCGGTACCAGAAAATTTTACATTTTGTAATTCTTATTTATCCAATAAATCTTATCGATAACCATTTGCTCATTTTACTTTATCTAGTTCCAAATCTCTTCAAACCATTTTCGGCGATTTATGGGGACCATCCCTTGTCATTTCTCTTGATAAAAAATTATACTACCGCATATTTGTTGATCAATACACAAAATATACTTGGCTCTACACTCTTCATAACAAAAGTGACGTCAAAACAATTTTTTAAAATTTTCAACCTCTCATGGAAAAACATTTTAATTCCAAAATATTGTCCTTCTACATCGATGGTGGTGGTGAGTTTCAAAGTCTTCGTTCATACCTCATTTCCAATGGCATCGAACACCTCATTACTCCTCCATATACTCCACAACGAGTTACTCTTCGCTGAAAGACGCCACCGCCATATAATCGAAACAACACGCACATTACTTTATCAAGCCTCCCCGCCATCTAATCTTTGGACATTTGCTCGTCACCATGTCGTATACCTTATTAATCGCCTACCAACATCCACCTTAAACAATCATTCCCCTTATGAAATGTTATTCCAAGCCAAACCAGATTATCAATCTTTGAAAGTATTCGACTGCTTATGCTATCCTTGGCTCAAACCATACACTCAAAACAAACTTCAACCACGATCCACACCCTATGTTTACTTAGGCTTCTCTCTCCCTCAACACTCGTCATCAATGTTTTGATCCTATTAAATCTTAAATTTATTTATCTCGTGATGTGATTTTCATGGAACATGAATTTCC